GTCGTGGGCAAATCAGAACATGGACTTACTTAGTCATGGCCCATGGGCCTGTATCTTCTACTATAAAAGCGAACAAGTGAAGACCTTGGTCCGCTACGCGGGCATATAAATGTCTTGAGCATTAAGTTTAAAATGATAATAATTTTGTAAAATTATTTTAAAATGTTTTAATAATTTACATAATTGTTTATACTAATCATTAACGTATCTTTTACATATTAATATTTTAGACAGTGTTGTGTGAAGTGAAAGTAAGTCTATTTGAATAGAGAGACATTAATATCATTAAAGCATAAACCATAGAATAAAATAAGAGTAAAATAATTTTAAAATTTATAGGTATAATTCATATAATGATACTAATTGTAACGGTAATTTAACTGATTACGATTCTGTTTGATAAATTGACAGTGTTGCACTAATGTTAATGTTATAGTCATTATGCATTTAGTATGTTAAGTTCACTCGTATACTCAATTTTTTTTACCATCTTGTCCCCGATTCCACTAATCCTAGTAGTTGCATTGCCATCTAACATCAAATCCTTTGATTTTAACTTTGAAATTGTAAAAGTATATAAATAGAGTTCAAAAAATAAAAAAATTAGAGCAACAAAGTTAGAGGTTGGGTAGCAATTCTTTTGCATGGTAAACATCTTGGGCCCTCTCTCCACATTGCTTTAATTAAGAGCTGCACGCCTTTTTCTTCCCTTTCTTACCCATACCAGTCATTATAAATTAATAAAAAAATGAGAAGAAAACTCAAAATTTTAACCAAGATAGTTCTCAATCAATTTATTTTTTTTTATGTTAATTTCTCAATCTATTTTAAAAAATATTTAAATAAAATAATTTATAGACTATTATTTAAGTATGTTAGTAAATTGTCATAGTTGAAATAAACTCTTATTTATAGGCCTTGCTTTTGTTTCCTTGATCATTTGATGAAGGCCAGCCTAATGAGATTCAGCCACACATTCTCTAGACTTATCCTGATGCTCTTGATCCACCAAAAGGAGATGAGTACATGAACATGCGGGAGTGGCTTTTTTTTTAGAATTCAAAGTTGCTTTCAATTGAAAGTGTTGTTAGTAAAAGGAAAGCACATATGCATCATCAACAATTGCACATTATCATGTATAAACTGTTTAAATGATTTTGTTTTAGATGATTAAAATGGTTCTGTAAGTGAGAGTTGAAATGCAAATATGATGTTAAAAAAATGATTGATCTCCATGTGTAAGATTGTATTTGTAAGTAGTGAGAATTTTTTATGCAAGTAATGGAAAAACCTATGTTATCATTGAAGTTAAAACCAATTGACCATAAAAATATAGGAGCATCTACAATTATTTTAGAATGTTAATACTTTGACTAAAACAAAAAAATTACTTGATACCAAAATGGGATCACCATGAGAATGATACCTGAAAAAGGTTGGACTTGTTTAAGGGGCCTCTTGCCAAAAGCATCATCACTACCATCAACACCACCTGCCTTGCCTTCCTTTTTTATCACTTGGTTTCATTGAATCCATTAAGTGGACTATCCACACACCTGATAATAATTCTAAAAATCATGAATTACCATGTAATATTTAATAGAAAATAGATATATAAAAGTTATATGGTTATGTATATATACATGGTATACATTAGTAACTGCTAATACAATTCTAACTTACAAAGTAAATCAGTTATGATAACTTATTATAGGGTAAGTCTTCTTTACTCATATATTTTCATAAAACCACCATAGAGGAAAAATTTACTTTTTCCTATTTTTTCTTTTTCAGTTACTGGTATGTTTTCTTCCTACAATGGTGACACAGTTGAGATAATTAACTCAAGTAAAGAAAAAATGTAAAAAAATTCAAACAGCTCATAAACACTCAGCAACTCTTTAGCCCTTGAATAGGTTCACCAACTAATGTCTACGAATAACAAATTTCCCGTTTGAAAAAAATAATAAATACACTATCTTCACCAGTTACTTTGTCCTTGCTTATTGGCATATTCTTCCTCAAATTATCTATGATACAAACTATTAATTTATGAAAAAATCGACCATCAACTATGTGGCTTAGTGGTAGAATTACCTATATACTCTTAGTCACAGATCTAAAATCTCTAGTCTCTATGTATCAAAAAGAAAAAAATTTATGAAGAAATAAAAATCCACAAATTGATCAATACTACAATAGCTTCTTAGATGCAAAATCAAATTAGTAATTGATGGAAATCTAAAAATCAAATGCAAATGAAAAAGGAAGAAAAAAAAAAAAACCATAACTACTGTATGTTAAGCAAAATCAGCACAAAATTGCTTTGAACTTCTCCTTGAGAGTCTACTATATGAAAGAAATTAGAAGGAACATTAAAAGGGAATGCAAATTATTCTTATTAGGCCTAAACCCTATTTTGAGCTACAGATTCTCTAGACTTTATGAATCTACTAAAAGTGGAAAGAGAAAACTTGTAAATATAACAATAAAATAAAAAAAGAACAGGGAAGATTAGTCTTATATGATAAATAAATAGGAACACATAGTAGAAAATTCAAGGTAAATGTTTTAGGTTATACTTTCCAATGAGAAGTTTTTATTCATCTTTTACTTAACAAAATAAAACCTTTTTCCTACAAAAAGCTTTTGGCATAACTACAAACATTTACATCATTTACATTAATTTATATTAAATAATTGGCTCTTAGAGCTTTAGAGATTACAACCAAGTACTATCACAATATAAAAGTTTCATTTGACTTGGAAATATTGAAGATTTTCAGTAAATTTACAGTCATATATTATGGAACCAGTGATGAAAAATAGGGAAAGAAAAAAAGTAATAGATGAAGAGATGATAAACAACACTTGACATAATAGGAAAATAATATAACTTATTCAGAAGGATCTTGGAAAGGGAAAATTTTGCAGTTGCTCCAATAGAAAGTTGGCCATTATAACACTTCAGTTGTTTAATCTAATCAGTAAAATTGATCTTCTCTTTCAAATTTAAGTTTAAGAAATTTATCAATTAGCAAATTGCAACTTAAACTCTCATCAGGTGCCTATGGATTAATTATGAAGAAATCCTAGAACATCTTATTCAATATGCCAGTCCCAAATATTTATGATGCATCCTCCAATCATTCATAAATGGTTGTACTAACCAAGGTGTAGGCTCAAATTATAGAGAGTTTCTCTTAAGAAAATTATCTATGTTAGTTAGTTATTATACATAAAAACTTTACTGTTATTTTCCAGGAAAAGAAATGCTTACCTATTTGTTAGTCTCTCGATATGCAATTGAATGGTGGAATTCACCAATGTTCTAATGGCACATATATAACCCCAATTCATCATAGAATTGAAGAACACATATACATTTTCAGCTAATGTCAATGTTTCTTTATCCAAGCATGTCCCTGCAAGAGTAATCCCTCCTCCTACTCCATCCCCAACCTTTTAGAATCATGCCACATGGTTTTTAGCATATTGTGCCTTGAAAAGAGCCTTTAACACAAAAAAAAAATAAATAGGAGAAAATAGTTTCACACAAAAAAAAAAAAAAAACCATGGCACATGAAATTGTGCCTAATCATAGAGCAATTGTAAAGTAATCCCCTATCCACTACCATAAAAGGAGAGAAAAGTTCATTTTTATGCACCTTATCTAACATTATGACTATATATCTCTTTCTTAAGCCTTTTTCATTTGAATTATAATATTTTCTCTCTTATTTATTCCAAGTAAAATTAGAATGTATAAAAGAAAGAAAAAAATCCAAAAAAAATAAAGATGGAAAGAGATGGATCTTATATAATTTTATACACAAATGAAATTCTTATATTCAACTATTTAGTAAAACTAAAGAATATTAGTTGGATGTTTCACATACCACTTTCCATGATGCCATGCCTTTTCTTGATGACTCCATGTGAATTTGTGGCAAATAATCAGATACCAAACACTATAAAATGGAATTTGTGAATTGGTTAGCTCTGTTCATCTTTCTTTGGTCTAGTTGATACATATACTAAATGGATGTAATTTATACAGGTGGCATCAAATCAAAATCCGGTCCTGAAAAAATTCAATCATCAATTAATCAGCCAATGATGATCTTCTAGATAATTATCCAATCAAAGTAAAGAGAAATGAAAGTGAGATAGAAGTGTTTACTTATGGATTCTGAAATAATAGAATTACCATAATTTTACAGTGTTCACAATAATCAAAAAGGAATTGAAATGACTAATCTGTGCATACCCCATTTTAAACTTCTAATCCTGCACTTCAGGGGCTGGAACCAATCTTATCCTTTAGAAATGCCGGTGAGAAAGTAGTTTTCTTGTCCTTCCGATCTCTTCTCTAATCTCACACCCAATGACTTCGATTCTAACTGCTAGCCTTTTTTTTTTTTTTTTTGGGTCTTTCAATCTCCTCTCTAATTCCCTCGGTTCTCTTCTGAACTTTGGCTCTCCACGATCTGAAGTTCAAGGTTGATGATGATCAGATGGTCAGTGGTGGTGAAGAGAGCGGACAAAGGAAGGGGAAAGGGTCACCATGAAGAACTGATATCAGTAATCAAAATTCGAAACCCACCTTCAAATTCAAAAACCCACCTTCAAATTCAATTTAATTACCTTCTGGATTGGAAAATGCAGAGAAATTGAAAATTGTATGATGGATTCTTTATGGTAGAGTTGGTCCAAGCTGCCTCCTCCTCCTTGCCTCCAAACTCTACTTACCACCCATATAAACCGCTAGAAGGAATTTCTTGCAGTTTCGAATGGGAAAGAGCAGAAGCACATGGAAGCAGTCGACCATTGATATTGATTAGGGGTAGCTTCCTGCAGTTTCCGATGGAATAGCAACGGAAGCACAAAAGAGGATGTAAAAATAAAACGTCTTCAATGGTTGTCGTTTTGGGCTAGCTAGGTCCATTAAGATTATCTTGTAAGCGCTATTTAAGATTAAATTAAGATTAAATAAATAAATAAATAAAATAAGGATTGATTCCGCCTTGCGTATTTATTTATATCTTTTCTCCCAAGTCCCAATTCTGACCCGTAACTTCCAAGCCTGAATCCTACCGATCAGAAAAATAGGAAGCAGATATGTCAAACGAGAAATTAGTGATGGCGGTGATCAGGGCGGCCAGGCCGTCCTTCAGAAACAACCACGACAAGATCGCGTTCGCCGTTCACGCCTCCTTCCTTGCCTCCGGCTACGTCCTCACTGCCACCGGCCGTCCTGCCTTCGCGGACACAGCTCTTTCCTCCTCCTCGTCCTCTAACGGTTTCCACTTTTTTTCCCCCAATTTATCCCTTAATTATATGCTTTCTCTTGTTAAATTATTTATTCTTCCTTGGGTGTGTAGATGAGGTTGGAATTGAAAATTGGAACGAATTTGAGGATGAATATGCGTTTGTGTATATGAACCCTGAGAAAGGCTCCAAAAAAGTGTTGGTGAAGTGTCTGGTAATGGATGATAAATTTCTTGTTGATGCTGTGGCTGATGGTGGTTCTGAGCCTGTTCATCTCGAAATTAAGTATGTTTTTCGCTTTTTTTTTTTCTTCATTATTTAACTAATTACTTTGTAGTTGATTTTCGGTTGGTTTTATTTTGGTTCTAATTATGTGGGGTTTGAGTGTTTTGTTCAGTATTAGGGATTATGTTGAGGAGAATGGAGGCGCCGCCAATTATTCGGCCCATTACAAGAATCTGGAGAGGCTGGTGAATAGTTTGGATAAGGAGATTTTATCCAAGTTAGATGGTTCTTTGAAGGCGAGTTCCTCTGGTAATCCTGTCAGGTAATCAAATTGATTTAAATTGGATTTTTTCTGTTTAATTTAATATAGTTTTCCACTATGTTTGTTGCTGTGCCTCATCATATTGTTTGAGCTAAATTGGAAGTTTCATTGGTCTACTCTAAGTTAAGAGGATTGTTGCTCAATCATTTAGGCAGTTTTGTGAGTAATTTTTTCTAGCATTTAGGGGGCATGCGGTTTAATTTGTTACTTATCATTTAGAATGAGAGAGCAGTCATTATATAGTTTAGAATGTAGAATTTGGTTTCTAAGAGTCAAATTTTTCTCTTTTGCTAGAGAGCTCTAGTACCTTGTGCATTTGGTTGACTTGCCTGTAGATGTTTATTTCCCCAACTTTTGAATGCTCTAGATTTATAACAAAGATAGCCATGGCTTGATTTGCATTTTGCAAATTGTTTGTTGGGATTTTGCAGTTCAAAAGCACGTGAAAGATCAGGCACTAATAGAAATGAAGCTGGTGTTAGAGTTATTGAACCAGCAGGCCCTCAACCTAATCCTTCAGGGTACGCTCTGCATTTCACTTTTCCTTTTTTTTTTTTTTTTGCTGTTTTGAATGGCATTTTTGGTCAAAATCCAAACTGTATTCACCATCTATGCCTCTGTTGATTTTTCCTACCTTGTTGTGGCCTTACTTTTTCCATTTGATAATTTCTGTTAATCTGTTGTGCATTGCCATGGTTATAATTATTAAGTAGTCTCTCAATTAACTATAGGAACTTCATTTCAGAGGTAAGTCTTCGTGGATTGATATGGAGGATGAAATAGCACATGAAATGTCAACTATGAAATGAAATTTAAAAAATCATGATATCATGTGGCCCGGGATTATGCTTATTGGAAGCTATTGGGTTTTGGTACTCATCTGCAGGGCATGGCTTAGGAAACATCTTAAGTTGTCAAAATTATGGCATTGATCCCATTGACCAATGCTTCAGCTTCTATGATCCCACTGCATTTGTTTTGATTTGACTAGTTAATCTTTGGTTTGACATCAATATATTGTCTTAGTTAATTCCTTATTAATGGTGTCCAGAGGCTGCATATGGTTTTTATTCTTATTTTCTTTGTTTTTGTTTCCTGCTTTAACTTTCAGAAGAGAGAGAGAGAGAGAGAGAGAGAGAGAGAGAGGAGAGGAAAAAAAATTCATAAAGATGTCAGTCTTTTATGGATATATAAAGCTCTGTAGATTAGACTATATCAAGTTTATACATGTACATTCTAGCGTTACCTGTCAAAAAGTAACCTCCCACATTGAAAACAAGTTATGTTTGTATTTTATCCAAATGGTTTATTTTGTGATTGCTTCTTGTAAAATTATGATGGAAAAATCAATGTCTTATTCAATATAAGATCAAGTTGTTGTAGACTTCTAGAAAATGTGGTATGTGAAGGGAAAGAAGTATTTATTTACAGGGAGCCTAGTTTTTTCCTTAAGTTGTTCAATAATCTTGTGTGTGTGTGTAATGCACACTCATAAATTATTTATTGACAGGGTCATACTTCCACCTATTAATCCTTTCGGTATTAGTGATCTTTTCCCTGGGCCAGGTGCTGGAATGTACCCTACCAGGTATGTTGTGCCCCCAAATCATTCTTTTGTTGATTAAGTTTGCTGCAGGATTCCAAATTGACTATATTTTTGTTCATTGATGGGTTAGGGGTGATTTTGGTGGAGGAAGCATGGTTCTAGGTTTGTTTGTTGCACTTGTGTGCTATAAGTAGGCATCTCATAATGTTGTAATTCCTTTGTTACTCATCGTTTCATTGATTATTTGCAAGCAGGACCTAATGATCCTCGATGGTTTGGTGGAAGTAGTGGAGAACCAGATTTACTAACAGGGCAACCGTGAGTTCTATCTCTACCACTCACACGCACACGCACACGCACATGCACACTTTGAGTTTTTTTTTTTTTCCCTGCTATGTAGCTTATTTTGGATGGTTAACAGTGGTGTTCCTCCTGGAGCTCGTTTTGATCCATATGGCCCACCTGGCATCCCTGGTTTTGAGCCAAATAGATTTGTCAGGTATATCAGAACTAAGATAATCCTCCAGAGAATTTCCTTTCTCCTGCTATATGTGAATTGGTATTCTTAGTATTCTTTTTCAAGTCCATACTTTACATGCCATCAGCAAGAACTTGAGACTGGAGTGCTATCCTTTTCTATTGCAGGAAGCCAAGAAGGCCTGGGGGTGGGACTCATCCGGACCTTGAGCATTTTGGAAGCGGTTCAGATTTTATTTAGAATTTAGATCTTTGTGTTGAAGTAGCTATTCTTCAGACATGAAATCGCCTCTGTTGCAGTCTATAGAGTTTTTATTAATCCTGTCTTTGTGGTATTCTCTGCTAGCTGAAGATTGGCGCCTGACTCGTCAAGTTCATTAAGGTTGCGTTTGGGAACTTGAATTTGAATTTGAATTTGATGAGTGTAATTAA